GTAAAGTAATGAAATGTAAGGTAATGTAAGGTAAGGTAATCTAATGTACTGTGGTTTCCAAGGTAACCATTGTTGTTTATTTGTTGATAAACAGATGACGTTTCCCAGGTAACATAACAATGAAGTTACACTTTTTCGTTTCCCTTTTTCGTAACACATTTTTGCCGAATGACACTGACCCTAAAATATAGACGTATTTACGTCAAAAATACCAGCTCAATGGTACAGGATTCCCTTGTACAGTTCAGTTATTCAGACGACAAAAGATTCCCTGTCGTGGAACGAGAAAGTTCATCAACGTGTTTACAAAATCCTAACAATGTTCCCCATCTAGATACAGTTCAATCTAACTCTCACATCCATGGCCTATTTTGCAAAGATAAACTTAATATTGCCCTTGAATGTACTCATGCTGTGCACCTCCATGTTAGCCTACGCAACCAGCACAATCTTCACAGATGTTACACTTTCTCCAACGTGGAGATTGCTGTGTGCGTGGGGCTAACAGTGAAAGTGAGGGAAAGTTCGCAGCTCGCAGGAAACATATGTAACTTTCGATACACCGCGTCAAGTACGGCTTCAGGCGTTTTGAAAAGGCTGGCTGACCCTCATGTTTATTTTAATATCAGTACGTATGCACAGTTCACAGAGACAATTTATTTCTCTTCGTTAAATGTTCGTTTCGATAAATTTCAAAGACAACTTACAACTCTTAACGACATCCACACAGATCGATATCTCGTATTATTAAAATGTACCATGAGCTATTTCTGAAAAAAATATATTATAGTGTTCTCCTTCTCAAATCACATTTATTGCACCTCCTCAATGCTAAATTTCAAAATAATCCGTTGAATAGTTTCGTTGAGAAGCAAGCTCTATCTTACGCGCTGTTATTTCTCATATACCCCCTGAATTCATGCTACATCTACTAAAAGACATCAGCTGGACCTTGGGCGTGAAGGTTGTAAACCCACGCGTGACGATGATTAAACTGTCCATCCCCTTCGCGTGCTTGGTGCTGGAATCTCTCCAAAATATCGCCTCCACATTTTCTGAACAAGCCGCTTGTTTAAACTATTGCCTGATATTTCAGGCCGCCTTCATAGAACCATCGGTTTGGATTACAGTTCTTTTTTTGTATTCAACAAGTGTAATTCACGTTTTTGCTCCATGATTGGTTGTCATTACGGGTTCTTTGCACACTGCGTATAAAATCAAAACATTTGGAAAGATTATGTCTGTCCGTTCGCATGTCTTTTAGATATCAGGTACGACACATTGGATGGGGAATGGGCCCATAGTAACGCAGGGGAGCACAATTAATAAAAACGCGGACATCTATAACTGAGTCAGATTCCAACGAACGATCATGGTGTTCGAGGGACCCAGAACTGTGGAATCCTCTGACCACAATTCGCAATATTAAACGAGAAGCTGATCATAGCCAACACGCACGTTAACAGAGGTTCCTGTTATCTCAAACACGCAGAACGATGCCTTGATTTTATTGGCATTATATTTGCGTTGCCTCGTGAATTATGGAGGTGACTAGACCCATACAAAATTTGCTGATGCCTAAAGGAAAGTGGGATGTCATAAGATGAGTCATATCAACGAACAGGCTACTGAAATACTGTATAGAGTCCCACAATAGTCAAGTTAACATAATGAACTGCCAATTATTTAATTAACGCAGTCCACAAGCAGAAGGCAGTGCCCCACTTCGGGGCATGAGTCAGACATTTGCACATCGGAGCAGGAAGACGGTCGTTAGTTCAAGGAGACTGTTTATTGATTCTGTTTAGTTTATCCAAATAGGACTGAACCCAGCGAGCTTCACAGGGTTTTCTCGGTAATAATATTTCATAACCTAAGCGTTCCATTCAAAATACATCATGAACTGAACATATCGTCTTTCACAAATAAAATTATGTTAAACAAGACGTAACAACGAAAAGTACCACAACATTAAAGGACAAAATCAGAAAACAATAATTCAGGATATCACTAAGGCGGGGTATTTAAATAGTTTAAATGTATACAGGCCAAGGTCAAGGGTCGGCAATCTGCGGCCCTCAAAACGTTTCTATGCGGGCCGACGAGATTTCGGAATCAGCCAATGCGAGTAGGCCATAAATATGGGCTACTGAAGAACATTTACATTACCTCAGCGCAAGGGCAAACCCTCGAAAAAATTTTAATGAAACAGAAACTGTGTACACATGGGCGTGTTACTGCACAAAGGTACAATGTTCCGTCGTTCAAACCATATGAAATGTAGCAAAACAATACAAAAATTACTAAAAAGCAGTTTTTAAACCAAAAACTGTCTGAAAGATAAAGAAAGTCTTTACAGTAAGTTCAATTATATGGAGAAATCCAGCTGTTATCCGCTTTCAAGTAAATGCCAGCGACACGACATTAATTTTATTCCGCGGCGCTCGATGCAGATGTGGATAGCCAATTCGGCACGCAGCAGTGGAAAGGTTGCCGACCCCTGCTATAAGGCAGCATACAAGAAAGTGAAAAGAATAATCCACAATATTATACATCCTCTTGAAAACGAAATTAAACTGTTCTATATACGAAGCCCATGGGCAGGGATGGTACGGAGCTAGGCAGGCAAAGGTTCAACCACTGTCTTACGCAAGAGCTGGGCTTGGCAAGATCCAAACAGCTGACAGACTTACCAACAGCAGCAAGGCCACAAAGACGACGGAGCAGCTCAGACTTACCTGCGGAAACAAAACACGTGGATTAACACAAAGGACACGCATATATCACGTGACGGAGGAGTGACTCTCGCCGCAGAGTTACATGGCACGCGAATCGTCCAATTTCCGGTTGTATTATGTGTTCAAACTGAATGGTTCGATGTTTATCACACATCCCAAAAATAATGTGGATTTTAATATAATTCATTCGGGCTAAGAAGTATAAGGGATTATTAATTTTAGTCTGTATCGGGTCCAATATAACCGCTACTCTACCTACATAAAGACAAAAACAATTTTAAACGTATCAATAACAAGACATTTGCATGTCCACATCATATAATAGAAGTCGCAATAGTCCGTTTGGAACAATTCCCAACAAATTCAATATTCACTGAAACATAAGGATTAGTATAAATTTACAATTCCTCTGATTTGCAAACAACACAAAAGAGATTTGTATCTACAATAAATTAACAACAAGGTTAACGTTTTAGCGTGTTAATTCTTGGTGGCCAAAGCCAGGAAGACCTACCGCTCGCCCGAATAAGAATTTAGAAAACTTCTACGTTAGAAAAAGATGCTCGGACTGTACTAAAGGGTAGAAAAGTGGTTTGTACAGCATGACATAAATGTGTACAACAGGAAAGGAAGGCAGTAAGAAGGAAATAAGAAACATAAAGGAAGGATCATCTACATCCTACGGCGTATGTATGCTGTGCATTGGGTGATGACAACCAAAATAAACACTCCATCTATTTGCTAACCCATGAAAAGTACGCAATTCATGACCAAGGCCAGCATTCAGGCTTCACGTGACAATGAAATGATGTCACTGTTTGCAAAGGTGGGAAGTCGGTTTCTCGAGATATATCGATTCAAGGTTAATGATAACTGTCCTGCAATACAGCTGCGGACAAGTTTGCTGACTTTTTGAGTAGTTTGGTCGTTATCTAGCTATTCGAGAAAAGACCCGATTCTCCATAACATGAAGGTTCATCGTTGTATTATCAAGATTCACCAACGGCTTCCGTCGTGAACCAATTCAATCCAGTTCATACCCCATACAGAATATCCCTTTTCACACTCCTCACGCCGAACGCCTTGTTTCGTCAACTTGTCTTTTCCCTAAAAGTTAGGAAGCATGATACAGGTACTTGTCGTTTTTCACATGCGTGCTACATGCCCCGCCCATTTCATTCCTTTCTATTTAATCGCTCTTAACACTTGCTAGGTCCCCCACCATTTACCTGTCACTTAATTTCTCTTAGCTCGTAGGTATTAATTATTAAAAACTCATCAAATTTTAATTTAAGAAAATGCGATACACCATTTTGGGAGGAAAAAATAGGTCTCTGGTAATAGAACCCTAAGGTTCACCGCCAATTACCACAATCCTGAGCCTCTTTACATACTCGAACAAACAAGTTTAACAAGAAAACTTAACCAAAGAGAAAAATCGATACAGTTTAAAGGCAAGCCGTAACAATGTTACAACACAATTACAGGTAAATGAAACAGCACAGCAAAAACAAAATGTTTATTGACCTGTATCGAAAATGTCATGCATGTTAGCAGAGCAAACAGTAGTAGTGAACATTTAATGTTAAGAACTGCAAAACTGTGGTGTTACGTCTGCACAGGAATCACACAGTCTCTCTACGCAACAATGAAAAGGTAAAACTTGTTCTGTGCCCAAGAAGCAAACCGATAAGGCATGCATGCGATTTGGCACTAGATGGAAGAGAGTGGTCGGCGTCACGCTTCGGCCGCTTTAGTCTTTCGGAAAATCCGATAGCCAATGGATAGCAAACTGTGTGGACCCAGACTTTCTCTGGTTTCGATGGCAAAGTAAAATGATCCCATATCACTGAAGGAGTCGAACCTTGTTCTTCTAAGCCCTAGCCAGTCACATTACTGACTCAGCCTCTGTGTGGAAGCACCAAGCCGACAAGGCGTAAGAGGCATTCGGGATGTCGGCAGTGGTTGGGAATTGCTGGCTCTGCCCTTTTGACACTCTATCCACCAGAACCCGTACGGACACAGTAATAGCCTTGCTAGGAATCGAACCAAGCCACAGCCAGCCATTCTACAGCTCTTAATAATGAGGGCAGCTATAACAACCAACACAAACTCAAACTCTATTAGCACTCAGCCAGGGTCGTCAAAACTTGCAGGCTCAGAACTACTAGCTAGAACAAACACCAAAAAAGGTTTCTTAGCAACACGGACCAGTCTTTGTTTAAGGGTTCAAACCACGGACAGGCCAAAAGCTTGTCCTACCTGTGTTTCTCAGGCGATGTGGCCCGACTAGGACCCACAGGGACAGGTCCCTGCGGGGCACAGACACCGGGTGAGGTGTCCTCTGAAGCACTTGGCTCCCGGGGGCAGCAAATGTGCCTGCTCGAGGATGCGAGTGCACGGGCGAGCCCAGTGAAACTGGGAAGGAACAAAGCAATATTACACTTCTGTGAGACACGCACGTCTCTCAGCAACCGACATTTCCAAGTGCATGAAATGAACGCAGATTGTTTGCCAGAAACGACTCAAAAGGATTTTAATGAGCGAACAATAAATATCGCTGAGATAATATTTTCACCTGTATGGGCCCACTGTAACATCCTACTTCTGTGGAACCAGCCGGTTTACGTGAAAATGAAGCAGCAGCTGTCACTTTGTGATAAAGAACGCCGTCTTACTTTTAATCAAGAAAGTGAAATATTTGGCGTTTCCGGACATGCTGTAGGTGTGTGAGCGCGGATGTGGGCTTCCATCTGAAATATCGTTTAGGAATGATCTTCCTTCAGTGTTTTAAGCAGAAAAATGTGTCACTTCGTCGCTTTTCATAAGCATCCTATTTTTAACCAAGGAAGCGTTCCAGAAAACCTTCAGCTTTAGGCTTCGAATAACCTGCAAAAAAGGTGCTATACATTCTGTACATGTTTTCGACCAGAAAATCTCACTGCCCTCTCTTGTTCAACCTGTCCAAAACATGTTGACCACTAATCTCGAGATGGCACTTGTCAATACACATAGTACAACAGGTCCTATGCAAACATTCAGGGAACTATTAGCACGTTCGTAAACCTGGTGCCTTTATGGCGCAAGGCCGTTCACCTACATGAACTGTTAATATTTCCAAGACCTTAGGTTGACAGCAAATATGTAGCCACCAAATGCAAAGTTTAAGACGTACTAGTTGCGGGTAACCTTGGCCCGAGGGCTTATTTCAAGGTCAAAACATTAAAAACATCAATATTTACTTAACACTAAGATACCGAAAAGTTGATGGCAAAGAGGAAGCGAGAAATTCCTCGCTGTCGTTCTTCCATCCATAACATTCAAACGAGAATAAAACTGTATTCCAAATTATAGCATTGGTCTTCATATTCATTTAATAGATACAAACACAGTAATGGGGTAGCTTACAAGTAATATCGGTTTCATAAACAACAGATTTGAACTCGCAACAAACAATAACATCAACAATAATCAGGTGATGAAAACACTGTAAATAAAGCAACTGATAATTCTGAATGGGCCTACTCGCTGTCTTCCGACTACGTAAACTATAAGGTTCATGCACCTCGCAGATTTCTGTGTTGTCTTCATGAGAATAACAACATTTGTAAATCTGAGGATTACGAATTCTGTTTTCGTGCCAGGGCCAAGGAGACTGCAGTTCACGTGAATTTAGAACGGGGACAACTCTTGTCAGTAACGTAATTGGCGACCGGGTTCCAATTCCCATCAGGGGCAAGATTTTACTCTTCCCCAGGAGAAATCAGCTAAAGTGTGAAGCTGATTACTAGTTTCAACGTTCAGAATTCGTAGAAATTTATCATTTCTTCTTCGGGAGGCCGTTTCACAAGGCTGATTAACTTCTCAGCTAACCATTTATTTCTCTACCCTAATTACTTCCAACGAAGCTGTGGAGTCATCGACTTTCTTTCTCTCGACACATCGAATAAGGAAGGGCATCATTTGACGTTTCACACGCTGACGCACGGGCATGATCGAAACACAACAACCTTGTTTTTCCCTGCATATTAGCCAAATGTGAAGTAACGAGACGTAGAGGTGCCTTGCATCCGCTGACTTTCCTGAAGAAGTCAAATAAATGTCGCCTTGCAATACGCAACCCACTTTCATGTTCCGATTCCTGCAAACGGCCTAAAGAAATTAATGATCTGAAGACTAAAGACAGGTGCTCAAACAGTTGGGCTACATGCCACTCATCAAAGTAAGGTAAATCGATCCCATGCACTAGATATCTTGTTTATTTAATAGCACTGTATCAACCGCAAGGGTTTATACAGCATCGCTTGAGAAGGAACAACATGGTTGTTAAATGCAACTTCGAACAGTGCGTGTTGCGATTCTAATCTGCATTCTTGCAAAGCTAAACATATTGCATTTAGTTAAATAATGATGGAATCTAGAATGTTTATGATAAAAGGCGTACATCTAAACGAGATACACATGTTACGCCAAGTGGTAATCTTTTATAAGAAGAGACGTTTGGGGACAAAATAATAACAGTTCGGTATGAGTTTCAGGGGCAACCAACGGACCCAAATTTCACAAAATTTCGTTCGGCCGTTCTCTAGTAGAACCAATGGTTCATATGGCCAATGACATGCGGTGGCTCCTTCTCGACTGATAAACGCCACAGACAGACAGACAGAACGTCCCCATAAAGTGTTCGTGATTCACGCTGAAGCGCAAAGAACATCCGATGAAATTGTGCCGATGCAAGACTCTATAATTTAAATGGAACAAGAACCCATTACATCGCGTGATCGCTTGTCAACTCACACACAAGAGGAACCACACTGTTTTTATTGAGCACACCTGCGCAGTGACGTCACATTACATCAATCAGTTCCCAGAAGCCCCAAGGCCGTAAGAGCACATTAAAATACACTTCGGCTGTTGATAATCACTCCGGTGTTCAAATTCCTCACGGTTATGAAACAGTCGGGGAACACCTGTGCTTATGGACGCATAAAATAAACATGGATCTTAGGTACGAATATAGGGCGAGAAGCTATGGAATGACTTACCTGACTCAGGAAAGGGTTATTCGCGAGCTCTTGAGAACCTTCGAGTTCCTTAACGGCAGGGAATTTAACTACCCAGCTAGCTAGAGCTTACGCTCGCGGCAAGAGTAACAAAATCTGGCTAGGTGGAACTGGCTAACGACGGACTTTAGTTGATCGGTTTTGGTGTGTTCAAGTGTAGGGAGTACCACTGTACAACAGCAAAATAAAAATCTGTTTTCTAAGAGAAGGGATAATACGGTTAATATGAACCCTAAGATCGCATTTACACTTTTCCAAGTACTTTTCCTATGAACTTGGCTTTTGGCAATCTCTCGTCCTATGTCGTCCACTGCTATTCCAACTGAACACCTCGCGCTGTAAAACAACACGATTCCTGGTTAAGATTTATTCTAGCCAGAGACAGAACCATCTAATAGATCAACTGTTCACGAGTTCTTGCTACGGTTATCAGTAAACAACCAGGAATCAAAATGTAGGCTCTGAAAAACGCGTTAATATACAACTGCTGAAGTAATAAGCTTGGTATAGTCGCAATCGCGAACAATTGTGTCCAGAACTCCGACTCCAGCTCAGTGTTTTTGACCACTGTAGCACTGAACGTCGAGTCTCCAAAGACAATACAAGAACGTATCATATGCAGCAGCCACGAGTTTCTTGCAGCCTCTCCATCACAGCCTACCTCTAAAACAATGAGTCGTGGTGACAATCATTTAACTAACATATGACATGGAAATAAATTCACTGCAAAAGCTTTGCTGAAGTTCAGTTCTTGATGCATGCTTTCTCCTGAATCACGCATTTTCTGAGAGTCGCGAATAGCCACACCAGTTACTGGCGACTGATGCAGAACCCATCATAATGGACACGTTACATAACATCCTGCCACTGAAATGGTATCTGCACATGTGATTACGGATAAAAGAAAGAAATCTATCGCTGAAGCATGAACCTCAGACTTTTCCAACAGAATAATAACAACTTTCAGAACGGATAAAAACGGAGAAAAAAGTAACTCATTGGCCATTTTAATTCGTTCGATTTTTTATGGGTCCATAGGGGATATTTCGAAGTGACGGGAGGCTGGCGAACCTCGAAAAAAAGTCTGTTGTTTAAAAAAACACGTTAAATAACCAGGCAAGAATTTATGACTGCCAAAATATGAAGGAATAGCGTTAATAATAACTGAGTACCATATTCCAGAGCCTTGGTGGTGTTCTCAGGATACTGAGACATGCTCTGAACCGAATACGAAGCGGGACCTTCATCACTACCTCACGTCTATCGGTCAAGGCGCAAGGACAGACATTCAATAAGACGACTGAGCTTACGTAAATGCAATATGAGACTGTTACGAATCAAGCCCCGATGCCCCACGACGCGTGGGAATACAGGGTTACATGCCGCGAGGCAATTATCAACACCAATACAACGTTCTGAAGGCTAAAAGGCAGTTCGGGAAATTCCAGTATTGTTGAAACGAACTACGTGATTTCCAGTAGGATGTTACAGAAAGATTCCGAAAATTAGATTAATATACGATCTCATGGAAAAAGACTACTACGGAAGTTAGCGTTGATGGCAAAGATAATATTAAAATTGACGTCGAAGTTGGATGTGAAATACAAACGTTGATAAATCTGGCTCAGGATAGGGCAATGACAGATTTAAGATACTTCAGGCACCTTTTTAATAGCTGAGTAACTATCAACTTTTGTTCTGTAACATGTATTAAAAGACTGGCATTTTAATGGTTAGTTGGCTGGATGTTTGGTTGTGATTTTAGTGTGAAACGATGGACCTTTATAAAAGCACTGTTTTATAAGGAAAGGAAGCTGGAGCAAATGAATGACTATCATTGTGAAAATCAAGTGTTACAATAGACTGGCCAGATCAATGAATGAAAGAAAATCATCGAAACATGAAGTGTAACACCAAAAACGGGCATTTCACAATAGTGTAAAATGTGTGAAAACAAAAAGGCCTGTAAAAAGTGGCGATGCTTCAACATGAAAAACAAAAACTGGGAACACATCGGGACGATACGCTACGCTAATGAAAGAAAACAAGTTACTGAGAACACAATCAGAAGACTGTCATTGTTGCTTAGCCATGACGACTAAGCCACTTAAGCGGACGCTGCGCAGGAGAAACGTTGCCAGAGGCTGTTTAGTTTAAAATATTCAAAACCTCGCACCAATGATTGATTAGAGCATAAAGTTTTTGTCTTACTGGGCAAATGCGTTCAATGAACGCATTATGAAAACTGTCAGTCACCCCAAACCTACCAAATTACTGAACGGATTTCTTCGAAAACTGCTGCTAACCGTCTGCAATGTAAGATGCGGCCGAATTTGATTTTTGCCTCACTCATAC